ATGTATATTCCACAAAACTATCTTTCGCTCCCCCCTTCCTCTCTCTTCTCTCCCTTTATTCTGGCTAACCTCCCTCTCTCATCTCTCCTTTCCTCTCTCTCACCCTCCCTCTGTCTTTCACTTCCTTCCATTCCTCTGTTCCCCTTGCTTCCTTCGTCCCCTCTCTCTCTCTCCGTCACTGTCTCTCTCCGTCTTTGTCTTTGTCTCTATCCATCACTCTCTCCCCGCCCCCTCTCTCCCCGCCCCCTCTCTCCCCTCTTCATGTCTCTCGCCGTCCCTCTCTCTTTCTCTTCCTTCCATCCTCTCTCCCTCTCTTCGTTCCACTCTCTCTTTCTCCGTTCCTCTCTCTCTCTTATCGTTCCCCCATCTCTCTCTCTCCGTCCCCGAATCTCTCTCTCTCCGTCCCCGAATCTCTCTCTCCGTCACTGTTTTCGTCTTTGTCTATGTCCTTCTCCGTCCTTCTCTCTCTCACTCTCTCTCTCAGTCCCTTTCTCTCTCTTTTTCTCTTTGTCTATTTGTCTCTCTTTCTCTCTCTTCGTCCCTCTCTTTCCCTCTTTCTTATCCAATCTTTTGTGCCTAAAAATTGTCTACACATTGTGGAAGTGCTTTTGACACGGACGTTTTCCCAACTGCCTTTCCTCATTTGGAACGACTTCTTCGAAATTATAATTAATAATTAACTAAACGAACAGATGTCAACTATACGCCGCTGATCAACAAACCGTATTTACTTTAACTGACAGAAGAATAACTAACAGACTAATTAAATCCCTGATTACCGAGAACATTTGCCAAAATTCTTATAACGGAACTTTTGATTAAAACCCAGTAATGTAATAAGCAGTTTTATTATTTTATTATCTCGGTTCACACTTTCCAAACATTCCCTTACCTTCTTTTGCTTTCTGTCGTATCCCTTCGGTCCAGCGGTGATCATGGCTCTCCAAAACTTCCCTTCCCCTCTAACTCAAAGCGGCCTTTGTTCCTCTTACTACCACCACATGTCCATGTTCTGCCATCCATTTACGCAAATTCGCAAACTAGATTATTGGATGTTTCAATGTATTCATCTTGCTTTCAATATATCTTCTGAGTACCAAATTCTCAAAGACCATTTTCATCATTATGTGTCCCAGGAATTTCATCTGAGTCTGATTCTAAGTATAAATGTTTCTTTTGATACCATTTTCCTTAAAACTTCCGGTTGCATTGTCCAATTGACACTGTGGTCAAAAATGGTTTTTTTTCAATTTACATTTTCATATTACTATAAGAAGTATTTAGCCACTCTTGATTACAACAATTCTGGCTTGTGCAATAACGTCTCTTCTTTTTTTCATACAATACCATGTTAATATCAAGCTACTCTAATCTATGAACAATAGTTGACTTATATTTTGCAATGAAAGTTCGTGGAAGTAAGGAAATTAGTGAATTTCAACAAGGGCAAATAATAGGATGCCATCAGTGTGGCAAGTTAAATAGAGAAATTGCTAGGTTTTTCCAGTTTAATCATCAAACGGTTAATAATATTGTCAAGAAATTTATTGAAGAAGGCCATTGTTGTGTGTAACAACGTTCAGGAAAACGAAGCATCATGTCTGAGAGAACGAAAAGGCCATTGAATATTGAAGTCATCAGAAACCGCCATCAGAGCGTCAAAGATGTTGCCAACAGCATGGAAATGTCACCATATGCGATTAGAAAAACTCTGAAAGAGCTAGACTATCAAAGAAGTATTGCAGGGAAGAATCCCTTGATATTAGATGTTATCAGGAACAAAATGCTGTCAAATATTAGGCAAAAAACTACTCCCACTATTTGAAACCAATCAGATTGACAAGAATGTCTACCTTTTTCAAGAGGTTGCAGTGCCATGTCTTATGAGCAAAGTAGTAAAGGTCTGGAAGGAATCGCAAGTAATTAAGTAACTGCCATAATTAGCCCAAAGTCCTCACACAAATCCAATAGAGCACGTTTGGAAGCACCTTGACCGAAAACTTCGAGAACGTGCAACCTAAATCACGTCAATGGCAACCCCTAAAAAAACATTGCTAAAGGAGTAGCAAAATATGGATCAGACCATTGTTGATAACTTGATTAAATCAATGAAAACTCGAATACAAGTACTAAAACTGGACGATCTACTCCATACTAGTTTCAAATACTGTTTACTGTTTATTTATGTTGATTTGGGATTACGTAATTCAATTTTGAAATTGGATTACTCCAGCCTAAAAACTTTTCTTAGGGCAATGTATTATAGATTAAGCACTCCAGAATATAAAAACAAATTATAAAACTTAACATGGCGTGCTATGTTAGTTCATTGTAAATTAATCCTATGTAAGCCAAAATAAATATACTCATACGATTTGAATTCGTAAAAGATCAAAAAAAAAAAAAATTTCAAATTTGTAATCAAGCGTTTTTTTTTTTACGTATTACAATCAATTAAGCACACCTTTATTCAGTCAGTTAAGCATCGTCCGTCATACACGCTCAGGTGATCATGTCTCTTTCGATTCTTGAGTAACTAGTCAGAATATTTCCCGCAGTGGTTTGTCACTTCTTTCTGCGGTAAACAGGTTGCCAACCAAGTCTATAGAACCCAGTTTGTATTGCTACTCAACTATTAGCTGGAGGGAAAATATATGGATTCATGCCTTTTGCAAGGGTAGTTGCGTGTAAGTGAATGTAATAAACTCGACTTGAATTCGAACTCTACTTTTCGAGTTCTCGTTCCAAGTCGTTATCCAAGCCGCTGCAGATTACGAAGTTTTAAAAATGATTATTATTTTTCTTTTTTACATTTTAAGAAATCACATCGTGGGAGTATATTTGTTTTGGCTTCCGTAGGGGATCAGTGTTTTAGACATTCGTATCCAAAGACGTATTGGGATGGCGAAAGACGCATTCCAAAAGCTAGGCAGAGTATTACGAGACAGGATTTCTTTGGCGAGAAAGAAGAGAGTATTGAACTGCTCCGTGACATCTATCACGGAGCAGTTCCTCTTTTACAGCAGCGAATGTTGGACATTCTCCTCAAAGATAAAGAAGAGACTCGAGGCAGCGGAGGTATGGTTCTACAGAAGGATGCTAAGGATACCATGGACCAAACATGTGAGCAACGATGAGGTTTTGGAGAGGATGCAAACAAAGAGGAAAGTTATAGTTAACATCAGGAAGAGGCAGCTGAAATCTCTGGAAGACGTAATGAGAAAGGAAAGCTTGGAGAATCTAATACTTACAGGGCTAATAGAGGGAAATTGAGACAAGGGGAAGCATCCCGTGACATACTTAGCGGGCTTAAGCAAGTGGGTGTTCTCTCCAAACTTTACAATAAATGCTTCTATGTTTATTGGAATTCCTGCTCTGTATTTCCTGTCTTTAAAAACTCTCCGGAACGACCTGGCTCCTGGAATTATCATCCTATTAGTATCTTACTTGTTTTTGAGAAAGAACAAGAGGTTCTAATCAAGTGTATAGGTTAAGCATCATTCTTCACACGGCCATATTTCGTATAAACAATATGGCTTCCGTTTCTCCGGGTCTACCGCCGATGTGTTAACAGCTAACACAAAATGTGTCTATCAAGCTTTAGATAAGAACGACAAAGCTCGTTCTGTGGCCCTTTATATCTCAAAGGCGTTCGGCAGGGTTTGACAAGGTGGTCTTCTCCAATGGCTACAATGTCTCTGGACGTTCCTAAAACATTGTATAATGAAAGACGTTTTCAACGGACAAGTCTCTCGATCATTTCACATCGATACAAGAGTTTCACAGCACTCTATTCTTGTCCAAATTAATCGAAACAAAACGAATAATTATGTTATTTACTTTTTTCTCTCATTTTTCCAATGAAACATGACCCAGTGCGCATGTTAGTACTGTGGACGTCCATTCCACAAAGTATTTCCTTGTAGACTGACCACAGATTTTTGATTGGATTTAAATCAGGACAGTTTCCGGCCCAGTGTTTAGTACATTGATTTGCTCACTGATAAGGCATGCCATTGTGTTCATGCAGCGGTACAATTTTTGTACGCTTCCTTGGAGTAACGTCCATAGCAAACAATGACCGTAAGACAATTAATCGACAGTCGAAACAATAGTGTCTGGGCGTGATGAAAATATATATGCAGTCACGATTGACGCAATATTTTTCAAGGCCAAACAAATTTCATCATACATCTCGAAAATAGATCTGGGGGATAATAGATTGATATTACTGCACACCAATGCAAATGACCTAATCTGAGGAAAAAATAGAAATCGGTTGAACCCTATCACTCCAGTGGGTCTAAAAGTAACCATGTAGTGAAAGAAAGGAAACTAAAGCGGTTGTTTCAATTAATTTGCACAGGGGTTTACGTTGTTTCTGATCGTCAACAACAACCTTCCCGATGTCATCAGTTCTCAACTAGTTGTTTATATTGGTGACATAGCTATTTACTCCCGTTTTAGCAGCAAGTCCGACAAAGTAGAACTGAGAACTGCTCTCGAAAATAATCTCCAATCACTGGGTAACTTGGACAAGGAATTTCTTGTAAACTTTAAAACCTTGAAAACAAAACTCTCTTAGTATTAAATGAAAGCATTTTTTGTTTTGTTTTGGAGGTGTTTAGAAAACCTTTTCTGTCTGCCATCAACATGGCTAATAACCCCTTACATACTAGTGATATTATCACCTTGCTTGGGGGTGAAGATTTTTAAAAAAAAAACCAATGATGATATCTTTCAACTTCAAAGCTCGTTTTGTCCCTGATATTTGGCCGTTGATTATATCCGAAGGAAACCTTTACGCTGGCTGCTGTCATCTCTGAGTTCCTCTGCTGAGCGATGCCATGTAATAATCGCCCTGACACGATACATGGCTGTGGAGTCCATTTTCTCTCGTTTTGCTGGTGATCCTACAAGAAAGGCCAATATTTAGTTGACGGGTCTTCTATTTTCTCCTGTTTTGTATCTAGCCAATCTTTTCACTAAAATGATCAGCCGACTTTTCCGCTGGTAGTATTTGGTTACCTGATACCAGTAACACCCGTAGACTGACCTGATATAACTGTACAAGATAAAATTAACTTAATATTTACTCATATTTAGAAGACTAGTACGACAGTTTTCTTATTCGATCCGCGTCAGACCTTCTGTCAAAATGTACAAATTATTTGGACAGTAATTATTACGAACATTTGAATGATAAAATTTGTTTACGGACCGATGATGCAGACCTTGTTTCGTTTACACTATTTTGATCACGAGGCTCTTGTCTTTTGTAATCTGGCTCTAATGTTTTTTTTTTTTTTTTTTTACTTTAGTTTCTTGCCCTAAACGCGTATGTACTTATGTGATTCACCGGATGTAGTTATATATACAAACACACATATGCATATATAATTGTGTATGTGTGTATGTCAACCGTCAGCTGCCATCTAGAGTCAAATTGCCTTCCACACTAACCCATCCACCGTTCTCTGCTCAATAAGAATAGAGTTGAGATGTACGAGATGCCGGGGTGCAAACTCGTCGGCGTCCATTTCCCATTTGGCGAGAAGACATTAGCTCTTCACTCGCTCGTTGAGCAGAAAACAGAGCGAACGATTAGCATTTCCTAACTGATATTGACATTGTCACTTTCCGTATCTGTCAGCTAAGAGAGATGTAGATAAATGTTCTTACTCTATTTATATAGATATATAGACATGTCCTTCTCTCGACGTTTATAAGGATTAATGGAAATGTATACATTTGTTAGACCACGTAGAGAAAATCAAACCTCTTTTGCCTCCAAACTTTTAATGTCTTTTCTCTCTTCACCTCTCTCTCCCTCTCTCTCTCTCTCTCTCTCTATATATATATATATATATATATATATATATATATTCCCTTCCTCTTTTTTCTTCTTTTCCCTTTCTCGCTCTATCTTCATTCCCCTTTCTCTATATAAATTCATTTTCCTTTCCTTCTCTATCTTTCTTTTCCTTTCCTCTCTCTCTTTCTTTTCTTTTCCTCTCTTTCTCTATCTTTCTTTTCCTTTCTTCTCTCTCTATCTTTCTTTTCCTTTCCTCTCTTTCTCTATCTTTCTTTTCCTTTCCTCTCTCTCTCTCTCTTTCTTTTCCTTCCCCCTCTCTATATCTTTCTGTTCCTTTCCTCTCTCTATATCTTTCTTTTCCTTTCCTCTCTTTCTCTACCCCTCTTTTCCTTTCCTCTCTCTCTATATATTTCTTTTCCTTTCCTCTCTCTCTATCTTTCTTTTACTTTCTTCTCTCTTTCTTTTCCTTTCCTCTCTCTCTTTCTTTTCCTTTCCTCTCTCTTTCTTTTCCTTTCCTCTCTCTCTTTCTTTTCCTTTCCTCTCTCTCTATCTTTCTTTTCCTTTCCCCTCTCTCTATCTCTCTTTTCCTTTCCTCTCTCTATATCTTTCTTTTCCTTTCCCCTCTCTCCATCTTTCTTTTCCTTACCTCTCTCTATATCTTTCTTTTCATTTCCTCCCTCTATATCTCTTTTTTCATTTCCTCTCTCTCTCTCTTTCTTTTCCTTTTCTCTCTCTCTCTATCTTTCTTTTCCTTTCCTCTCTCTATATCTTCCTTTTCCTTTCCTCTCTATATCTCTTTTTTCCTTTCCTCTCTCTCTCTGTCTTTCTTTTCCTTCCCCTCTCTTTATCTTCCTTTTCCTTTCCTCTCTCTCTATCTTTCTTTTCCTTTCCCCTCTCTCTATCTTTCTTTTCCTTTCCTCTCTCTCTGTCTTTCTTTTCCTTTCCTATCTCTCTTACTCTCTATCCCCCCTTTCTCTTTCTTTCACTCTCGCCTCACTCCTTATCTCTCTCTTACTTTCACTTTCTCTTCCCACTTTATTTCTCTCTTTGCCTCTTTTTCTCTCTCAAATCTACCTTCCCACTGATTCAAAAATCTTTCGTGATATTTAATGAAGCCACATTAAATAAGATTAGAGTTTCCCACTTTCGATATTTTTAGTAACAGTCGATAAAAAAAAATACAGAAACAAGTTAAGATATGTCAGAGGCCATTAATTCGGGTCCGCTCTCCATGTAACAATTTAAGTTAAAATATAAAACCGTAATACGGATGTGCAGGTAGCGTAAATGTTATCGGTGCAGAATACGAATTCAGCAAGCCGGGTTCTCTTTCGCACTAATGCACATGGGAAGGACAAGAATTCATCTTTTTCTAGTTTAGCAAAACATCCGAAAAAACCGCAGAGAAGCCAACGGAAAATCATTTTTTTTTGGCAACACAGATAATAAAGAAAAGGAATATGTGTGGAGATATCATCTGAGGAGACAGAGCATTAAAAGAAAAAAAAAGACCTCAGAAAAGGGAAGGAAGGAAACTGAATTCGAAACCGTGTAGAAACCAAAAAATCCAGACGGCCCACTATCTCACTAAAGAACAGCCGTAGCAAATCACAATTTCAAGATCGCCTATGTTTTAACGGGACGTAAATAATCATGGCTTCCTATTCAATAAATATTTCAGGAAT